TTGGAAGACATTCATATTCACACCTAAATGCTATATCATCGTCTTAAACATGAAAATATAATTAAAGCCGCAAGCGGCGATGAAAGGCCTCGCCCCTCTCGCGACCGCCTCCTGGGCGCCGGTCCCACAAGCGTCACGCCGACGAATTGGCAGCCCGATCTGACCAGTATTACGTATATAAAAGCTCATTTATATGATAAAGTGGGTCCCTAGTGGTCACCTCCGGGACATGCACCCTCTACGTAGAGTAGTATTTTGCTCGTACAGATGTCAAGATTTGATTTTGCAACTTTGGTGAAGATCGGAAAAGTTTAGGTCAGAAGCCTTCCATAGGTGGCGCTGTAGAGCCATATTAGGTGTGTGTTTTCACACCATGTGAAAGGTGTAGGACTTTGAAACGTGTTTGAAATGATGCTTCATGAACTATGAACTATTTGAGTCTTTCAGTCAATTGTGTTGATACAACAAACACATCCAAAGTAATACAGTTCTACAGAAAGTGATTAATTGAAGAAAAACTACCAAGAGGTGGATTAATTAAACACAACAAACCATCAGTGTTGTTCCAGTTCACAGCTTTTCTGAACTAGTTCAAGTTCAGTTCATACATGCTCAAAGTGAACAGTTCACGTTCAAAGTTCACATTTTTAATTCTGAACTAGTTCAAAGTTCAGTTCATTTTACTTTTTTCGTGAGATACTTAAATACATATGTTTTTCACACTACGAGCTATATATATATATATATATATATATATATCTCCTGTACACCCACAGGAGGAGAGCCTTTTGACTACAAAACAGACAAGATTTACATGGTTTTCAATGGGAGCCAAACAGAGTTGTCCCATCTCTGCTCACAAACTACAGACAGTAATGCGCTGCAGTGCGTGTGTCTATACTTTATGTCAAATGTAAACGGTGTAAACTTTGTCGCTAACTCACCCTGTGTTTTCATCACGACTTGGGCACATGTGAAAAGCACCAGCTCACAGCGCCGCACCGCAACACAGAGTCGGGTTGCGTTCACAGACGGTGGAAACCGTAGGAATTGTTAGATTTCGGCGGAAAAAGTGTGAGAATACAGGAGGGAGGAACTGTCTCTCGTTGCGTTTCAAAAGAGAAAACCGATTCCAACGTTCATAGTGATGTCTGCCGTTCATGACACATAAAATAAACTAATTCACGTTCAAGTTCTTTTTTTAAAAATGTGTTGCGTTCAGTTCAACGTTCACGAAAAAATGAGCGTGTTCAATTAACGCGTTCTTTTGAACTCGTTCACGCACAACACTGCAAACCATTTATTCCCAATAAATAAATACATTTACTTTGCAACACAAAGGTTATTATGGGTAAGCACTTTGACAGTCCTGTCTGTTTTTTAAAATATGCTATATAAATAAACTTGACCTTGATCAGTTAATGAATGCAAAATAACTTTCTTCAGCTAAAAGCAAAACTTAAATTATAGTCTTTTGTCCAAACAAAGAGAGAGAGTTATCTTATTTCTCTCCCTAAAACCTTCAAATCAGGTCAGAAATGTAGGAGTGATAATAGACAAACACTTAAACAGCCACATCAAATAAGTAACATTAGCAGCTTTTGACCATCTGAAGAGCCTAAAGCATTTGTCTGCAGTAGGTTGGACTGCTGTAATGGCCCCCCTGGTGGTCAGGTCGGGTATTGTAGCTCTGAGTGTAATATTACTATATGAAATAAACTGCTTACTTGCACGAAAACGGTGAAGATTTTCTAACTTTTTTGCGATGATTATATAACTTCAATCCATCCAGATTAGGAAATGACATGGTAGAACTCTGTGCGATGAAAATCCAGGGACTAGTACGAAGCCAAAAATGCGACACCTTGAACTGCCTGTAGGTGGCGCTGTTGCACTCACAGTTGTGTGTTTGTATATTGTTGTGTTCAGGGTCATACGCTGTATTACTGAATTCATTTTTAGCCTCATCGGACAAACATTTAGCCCCAAAAAGCTCATTCATTCACTTTCCGGCACCCCCGGTGGTCAGGTGTGGGACTTACAACTTTTGCGTAATGCAATTTTTTGCTCGTCTCGGTCCAGAGACTATACTCAGCAATTTTCGGGCCGATCCGAGCACTAGTACCCTATTACTTTCCGACAGGTGGCGCTAAAGAGCTCAAATTGGGCGAATGATTTTAGTGTCATTGCGTTCAGGCCATAACCTAATATTACTGATGTGAGTCTCAGCTCTGTAGGTCTGAGCCTGTGGCCCTCAGGGCTCAGCGAAAATGGCCAAAACGAAGGCCTTATTCGCCATGGCGAGGGACGAAAACGGTGAAGATTTTCTAACTTTTTTTCGATGATTATATAACTTCAATCCGTCCAGATTAGGAAATGACGTGGTAGAACTCTGTGTGATGAAAAACCAGGGACTAGTTCGAATTTCTAAATGAAAAGTCAAATTAGTGGCGAAACTTTGGCCCATCATGGCCGACTTCCTGTTGGTCCCAGACATGTGCTTAGACCGGCTTTTATGCTCGTCTCATAGAGATCTATCACTCATCCGAATTTCGTGTACCTACTCCAAAATATGCAATCCTGCCTCCAATAGAAATGGCAAATTTGGAATTTTCAAGGGGGCGCTATTGATTCGCCTTTTGTCGGACAATCTCGAAACGTCAGTTTTATCAAATTTTTCGCCGGACCGGTTGTTTTAGACCCCCCATGTGCAGACTTTCGTGCATGTCTTCAGGGTCAAAAATCGAATTGTTTCGGCAGAAAAAGAATAATATGAAACCACCGAATAACAATTTTCATTAAAGCCGCAAGCGGCGATGAAAGGCCTCGCCCCTCTTGCGACCGCCTCCTGGGCGCCAGTCCCACAAGCGTCACGCCGACGAATTGGCAGCCCGATCTGACCAGGATTACGTATATAAAAGCTCATTTATATGATAAAGTGCGTCCCTAGTGGTCACCTCCGGGACATGCACCCTCTACGTAGAGTAGTATTTTGCTCGTGCAGATGTAAAGATTTGATTTTGCAACTTTGGTGAAGATCGGAAAAGTTTAGGTCAGAAGCCTTCCATAGGTGGCGCTGTAGAGTCATATTAGGTGTGTGTTTTCACACCATTACTCTCAGGCCATTACCAACTGTTAGCGATGTGAGTTTCAGCTCTGTAGGTCTGAGCCTGTGGTCAGGAGAGCATCAAACATGGAGAAATTCCCCACTACCTTGCTTGAAAACGATAACAAAATTCTAACTTTTATGCGATGATTGCATAACTTCAATCCGTCCAGATGGAGAAATTACATGGTAGAAGTCTGTGCGATGAAAATCCAGGGACTAGTACGAAGCCAAAAATGCGACACCTTGAACTGCCTGTAGGTGGCGCTGTTGCACTCACAGTTGTGTGTTGTATATCGTTGTGTTCAGGGTCATACGCTGTATTACTGAATTCATTTTTAGCCTCATCGGACAAACATTTTGCCCCAAAAAGCTCATTCATTCACTTTACGGCGCCCCCAGTGGTCAGGTGTAGGACTTACAACTTTTGCGTAATGTAATGTTTTGCTCGTCTCGGTCCAGAGAATACACTCAGCGATTTTCGGGCCGATCCGAGCACTAGTGCCCTATTACTTTCCGACAGGTGGCGCTAAAGAGCTCATATTGGGCGAATGATTTTAGTGTCATTGCGTTCAGGCCATAACCTAATATTACTGATGTGAGTCTCAGCTCTGTAGGTCTGAGCCTGTGGCCCTCAGGGCTCAGCGAAAATGGCCAAAACGAAGGCCTTATTCGCCATGGCGAGGGACGAAAACGGTGAAGATTTTCTAACTTTTTTTCGATGATTATATAACTTCAATCCGTCCAGATTAGGAAATGACGTGGTAGAACTCTGTGTGATGAAAAACCAGGGACTAGTTCGAATTTGTAAATGAAAAGTCAAATTAGTGGCGAAACTTCGGCCCATCATGGCCGACTTCCTGTTGGTCCCAGACATGTGCTTAGACCGGCTTTTATGCTCGTCTCATAGAGATCTATCACTCATCCGAATTTCGTGTACCTACTCCAAAATATGCAATCCTGCCTCCAATAGAAATGGCAAATTTTGAATTTTCAAGGGGGCGCTATTGATTCGCCTTTTGTCGGACAATCTCGAAACGTCCGTTTTATCAAATTTTTCGCCGAACCGGTCGTTTTAGACCCCCCATGTGCAGACTTTCGTGCATGTCTTCAGGGTCAAAAATCGAATTGAAGATGCGGAAAAAAAAGAATAATAATAATATGAAACCGGTGAATAACAATAGGCCTCCCCAATACTTCGTATTGGCTCGGCCTAATAATAATAATATGAAACCGGTGAATAACAATAGGCCTCCCCAATACAAAGTATTGGCTCGGCCTAATAATAATAATATGAAACCGGTGAATAACAATAGGCCTCCCCAATACAAAGTATTGGCTCGGCCTAATAATATTATTTTTACACTGAATCATCCCATTTCACAGTTTAGGGCAATAACAAACCAGCGAATTAATATTTCATTATTCACCTTAAATCTTTGGTTCCTCACTTTTTGGTTTCAGGAATAACACATGTCTGTCCCAACAGAGAGTGTTTTTTTAAACGTAATATTCTGTGAACGGACCACAGCAGTCTTTTTTGAGAATGAATGTTATCGTTTGCATGCTGCAGAGTTGTTTAGTCCGATACCTGTGATTTTTGGTATTGTTAATCGTTATTACATGGTAATGTGTTGAACGATTTAGGATTATGTTTTTGCTTCATCCAACCCCTTTAAAATTTCTCAAACCTGCACAAATCACCCTGCAACCACTTTGAAAGTGGCTAAACGTCCTGAAAAAGTAGATTTAATGGTAAGACCAGGTACAAGGTTATATTTGAACACAGGGAAGCCCAAACACTAACACAAATGCAGTCTCTCTCCCTCTCTGGTCTCTCTCCCTCTCTCCCTCTCTGGTCTCTCTCTTGGTAAAATGGTAAAATAGCTAAAACCTGATTCTCTCGGAGTCAGACGGGTGGGGCATGTGCGTCCAGGCCGACTCCTCCATGGCCTGCTGGTAAACCTGGTCTTTGGACAGAGGTGCTGGCCCCAGAGGACAGACCCCCAGGGAGGGAGGGATGGTCACCTCAGACAGGCAGGTCTGGGGGGCCGAGGGAGGATTGGATGGGGCGGCCGAGCTGGGGAACATATCTGAGGAGAGAGAGAGAGGAGGGACTGGGTTTACGGCATTACATTGAAATTATTGCAATTAGAAAAATGAAACACTGCAAAGACACAGTTCTCTGCGATCTGAATCGTCTCATTGATTGTCTAATGGTTTTAACACAGATACTGGGTCACACCGCAATCTCTGGTCTCCGGTCTGAGAGAGCAGAGTGAGAGAAAGAGCAGAGCGAGAGAGAGAGAGAGAGACCACAGAGAGAGAGACGAGTGAGAGCCCAAAAAAGAAACAAGAGAAAGAGACCAGAGAGAGTGACCAAAGAGAGAGACCAGAGACTAAGTTTTCTTCTCTCTATTCCGGCAGGTAACATACGTGTCCCTGTGTCTCTGTGTGTGTGTGTTGGTCGAATCTGTGTGTGTGTGTCTGTTGGTTGGGGGAGAGTCTGTGTTGTTACCTGTGGGGAGGTGCAGTGATGTCACGTCTCCCTCTAACCCTGAGCTGTGTGCTGCTCGCTCAGCCATGGACTTCAGGCTGCTCAGAGGCTCCTGCAACACAAACACAAACACACACACACACACACACACACACACATACAGAGAAAGACACAGAGACACGCGCAGACAGAGACACACACAGACACAGAGACAACCACATACACCTGTTACGAACAGTCAACAAGAGAGCTGGTATTGTCTTGCTTTACTATTACAACAAAATCTTCTATAAGGCACGAGGAAAAATCAGAGGTGGGGACTAGCTGTTTTTGATGGATTTCAGAAATAGTTTATTTATTTTTTGTATGCATATTTCAAACTGTGTCTTCACTTAACTTTACACTGTATTCCTACACCATTTAGGCGTTCATCACAACTGAATCTGCTTTAATAATGAGTATTTGAGACAATTAACTATCATTTTTCATAATTTACAGTCATTTACTTCCATGGACAATGCTTAAATAGCTAAAGCTGGACAATAGATCCTGCTCGTGTGTGAATGCGGAGCGAGTGTCTCCGGAGGCTCTGACCTTGATGGCGTCTCCGGGCTGAGAGTACGACATGGGCCCGTTCAGCAGAGATACACTTCCCGTTTTGGCTTCACTGAAAGAGGCGGGAGACGGCGAGCTCGGGGAGAAGCTCATAGAGGCCAGAAGACTCGGAGCACTGTCTTTACTGCAGAGAGAGGAGAACAAGAATTAGATTAGATCTCATTAGTTATTGTAGATTATTGTGTGTGTGTGTGTGTACAAGTCCCTCCAGGGCCTCACACCAAAGTACATCTGTGACATGTTAGTGCCTTATGAACCAAGTGGGACAAAGGGACAGAGACCAGAGAGAGAGAGAGACCAGAGAGAGAGAGACCAGAGATGAAAGAGACCAGAGAGAGAAAGAGAGACCAGAGAGAGACCAGAGAGAGATCAGAGAGAGACCAGAGAGAGAGAGATAAGAGAGGGACCATGGACTGGCCTCCTGCTGGTACTTTAGAGCACAGGGACAGAGAGACCAGAGACCTCTCGTCCATTCCCTCTTGTATTTGTATCTCTCCTCAAACAACAGATCATTGAAGTTGATATTTCCGATCTGACAAACATGTAACTCACAGCTGATTGGCCGAAGAGGAGAGCGACGAGGACTGGCTGTTCTGTGATTGGCTGACGCTGCTGAGAGAGGAGTCTGTTGTGCTATCTGCCACCACAGCGCTGTAACCTGATCCAAAACAAGAGATCGTATAAAACAGGTAAGATAACAAGAAATACAACAGTTTTCTTTCTGTTTAGTGTAATATCTCAGCACAACGCAAACATTCTACAGCCTCAGTCCCGGATCTACAGCCTGTCCATTAGGGGTGTGACGATATACTTTCTCCCGCGATTCCATTATTGATATGCATTTGCCAAGTATCAATATAGATTTTGAAAAAAAAAAAGATTTTTTTTTTGTGTTTTTTTACAATTAAAAAAATAAATAATTGGTATCAATACTTAATATATGGCTACATTACGCATCTCCATTCCATTTATCATAAAATAAAGTGTATTTTTTCTTTTATTTATGCCCTAAATTGGCATATTGTATATTTCTGACCAATATATCGATAATCGTCATATCGTCATAAAATCGCTATTGTGATAATATTGTTATCGTGATAACATCGTTATCGTGAGGTACCCTAAGGTTCCCACCCCTACTGTCCATTCCAGCGGATCCCTCTCTCAATATGAGCCTCCTAGAGGTTTCTTAATTTTTTTCCCCGCTGGGTTTTTGAGTGGTTCCTTGCCGGTGTGATGATCAGTGATGATCAAGATCTTGAATTAACATTAAAGTTGTCATCCCGGTCCCTATGGACCAGTGGCTCCTATGTGTTTGTATTCTTGCATGTCCTCTTTTTGGACAGTTTGGTTTCCTGATTTAATGGCGATACGACAACTTTATTAAGTCCTCCAAGACGACTGCTGTTGTGATTTAGGACTGTACACACATACATTGAATTTAATAAAAATTGAAGGATCCCTAACCATAAACCAATTTAACTGTTCCTAACATAAACCAAATCAAAATTTTGGCGAGAGACCAGACAGAGATCAGAGGGACCAGAGACGAGTAAAAGAGGCCATAGAGAACCCTTACCCTAACCCAGAGAGAGAAAGAGAGAGATGTGAAAGCCTGGGATAAAATACCAAGATTTTACTATGCCAGTCCCCTAAGGAAAGAATTCCCTGGGAGATCCCTTCATATTTAAGCAGTGGGAATGAGTCGAGAGTGCGTGAATGACGAGAATGCGTTCAAAAGTCAATTTTCGATTGACGTCGAAAATTGACGTCAATCGAAACGTCAATTTTAAAATATATTACATACTCTGCTAAGATTTTGTGTTCATCCATCTATTACAGCGGATCCTAAAGCACAGACCTCCCCAGCCTTCTGCTCTCCCAGTATTGTTCCGCTGATGTGATTACGTATTAGCGGTGTCTGAGTGTGAGCCTGCTCTTCTCCCATAATGCATCACTAATTAATTATTTGCTAGCGCGTGTGGCGGGCCGCTGTGATGAGACTCCTGCGCGATAACAAAGGCACTTACAGAGCTCCGGGAGAGTCGCTGCGGAGGTGACGATAATTAAGATCATTATCATTATTCACAGAGCTGCAGGAGAAGTGTGGAGGCTTAAACACAGCAGGGGATTAAGGACTGCGGCTGTAGATCCAGGACTACTGAGGTTGTAGATCCAGGACTACTGAGGCTGTAGATCCAGGACTACTGAGGCTGTAGATCCAGGACTACTGAGTTTGGAGATCCAGGACTACTGAGGCTGTAGATCCAGGACTACTGAGGCTGTAGATCCAGGACTACTGAGGCTGTAGATCCAGGACTACTGAGGCTGTAGATCCAGGACTACTGAGGCTGTAGATCCAGGACTACTGAGGTTGTAGATCCAGGACTACTGAGGCTGTAGATCCAGGACTACTGAGGCTGTAGATCCAGGACTACTGAGGGTGTAGATCCAGGACTACTGAGGCTGTAGATCCAGGACTACTGAGGCTGTAGATCCAGGACTACTGAGGCTGTAGATCCAGGACTACTGAGGCTGTAGATCCAGGACTACTGAGGCTGTAGATCCAGGACTACTGAGGTCGTAGATCCAGGACTACTGAGGTCGTAGATCCAGGACTACTGAGGGCGTATATCCAGGACTACTGAGGGTGTAGATCCAGGACTACTGAGAGTGTAGATCCAGGACTACTGAGGGTGTAGATCCAGGACTACTGAGGGTGTAGATCCAGGACTACTGAGGGTGTAGATCCAGGACTACTGAGGGTGTAGATCCAGGACTACTGAAGCTGTAGATCCCGGACCTAACCCTGAATAGTGATAATTAAATGAATTAATGCCAGAGCTTTTGTGACTTCCTGTTACTTACGTGGCAATAAAAAATGATTCTGACTTTTGGGTGTAGGGTCAGTGAGTGTCTTGGTCTCTCCTTATCTGTCCATTGTGGGCCTGTTTGTTTGGCTGTGTATCTTGTTCAAGTTTTGAATAAATACATACAATTAACATAATTTTAAGGTTTAGAGTGAGACTCAAACTTGAGAAATTTTGATAATTTGGATTTGCAGGAGGGTCAAAGGACTGTGGTGATGATCCAGGACATTCAACAACATTTATGGACTATGCCCGGTGTGGACTTATGTATTTTTTCATCATTGCATTTCCTGAGTTTGAACCGTTTGATTCTCTGCTTTGTTGTTGGTGAAGCAATAATTTGATTTAAGTCTATACAAAAATAAATTGAATGGAAATATTAAAAGATAGACTTTTCACAGCGTTTGACCAGCTGTTTTTAGTCAAACTTTGATTTTAAATGGAGTTGGATAAGGTAACACAACCCCAACTCCTGTGTGACATGTGACCTGTGTGTGACTCACTGGAGCTCCCGTTCTGCTTCTGCTGGCTCGGTGGTCGAACCATCATGGCGTTGCCTCCTCCTCCACTCGACCCTGAGCTCGGGCCGTTGCTGCCGATGACTCCCAGCCCGCTGCCTCCCCCTAGACTCCCTCCCGTCGGGATCTGTGACAGCAGGGTGGAGGTCCCAGCTGACGACAACCCCAGGATTCCTGCTCCTATTGCTCCCCCTACCACCGAGCTGGACGTGGGACCTCCTACAGCCGTCACCGAGCTCAGAGATGACGTGGAGAGTCCAGATGCGGTTCCAATGGCCGCTGCCTGTGCGTACGGAGCTGGGGTGGAGCTGGACAAGAGGCTGGAGAGCGAGCTGAGGGACCCTGGCATCCCTGAGAGACCCAAGCCACCGCTAGACATGGGGCTGGACGCTAACGAAGCTAACGAACCAGGGGCTTTCCCGAGAGATAGACCCAGGTTTAGGCCCAGGCTGTTGGATGCGGAGCCAATGGGGGGCTGGGAAGAGGGCGCGATGGGGCCTGGGAGGCTGGTGTTTGGAGGAGAGGGTCCCGACGTGGAGGCCTGGTGGTGGCTGTTTGCGCTGGCGACAACACTGGGGGCGGAGTTTGTGTTTTTGGGGAGAATGTTGTGGTGCTGTTGTTGTTGCGTAGCGTTGCTGTAGCTGCCTGCGGACATGATACTGTTGGAGAGGAGCGCAGAGGAGGAGGAGGAGGAGAGGCCCATGCTGCTGCTGTTGAGGAGGCTGTGGCTGATGATGCTAGCACCACCGCTGTTGGCCACAACCCCAGAGATGGACGCCATGGAGACGAAGGAGGACGAGTTGAAGGCGGAGACGGAGGAGGACGAGGAGGAGGAGGAGGAGAGCAGCAGCGATGGGTTCCCATTTTTCACTGGGGACTGAAAAAAAAAGTTAAAAACATTATTATAATAAACTATTATTAAGACTATACCAGGGAGAGATAGCCCTGTAGGCAAAAGATATGAGTGATGTATTGTGAAGTAGCTTAACTTAAGAGACAGTGGATTACTTTAAAGTAGGAAGACATTAAACATTTTAATCGAGTTGATTACATTAACATTATAAACATTTTCTGTAGTAGACAGTATTTTTTCTAAGTTGTATAAAAAGTATTAAAACCTGTATTTCAATTGAAAAATTGAGCTCATTGATTCAGCAGGGTATGAATTCAGGCCATAAAAAGTGCAGTATAGAAACTTTGTGTGACGCTTGTTCTCCTAGACCACGCCCCCTCAAGCGTCTGCAGTGCATGTAAACAGCAGCAGCATGGCAGGAGAAGGAGGCTATACCTCGTCTGGCTGAAACTGCTTACACAGCTGTAAAACAGCCCAACAGACGCAAAAGTGAGGAGGAGGAGAAGAGGGAACTAAAGCAAAAAATAATAATAAAAGAAGAAATCAAGCCCGGATGAATATAGCTAACTTGGACTTTGGACGCAAAACTAGCGGTAATCTTTCAGTTATTGTACTGTTTATTTTGTTAGCAGTGCGTTGCTTTGGTACCACTTATAAGAAGTTGTGCTAATGCTAACTAATGCCTACCTGCTCTGTCGCCATCTCACACGCATGTGTCCGTGTCACTTCTGAGTGTTATTATAGGATGCATGGGCGGGTCATTCGCTACATACGTTATTTTCTTTAACACATTTAACGAAAAAAATGTATTAACGTGCATAAACACAATAGTTTTTACAGCCCTAACAGCTTTGATGCCAAAATGGTTTGTAGAGGATAGAGAGAGAGGAAATAGAGAGGAGAGAGAGAGGAGAGAGAGAGAAGAGAAGAGAGAGAGAAGAAGAGAAGAGAGAGAAGAAGAGAGAGAGAAGAGAGAGGTGAGAGAAGAAAAGAAAGAAGAGAAAGAAAAGACTAAAGAAGACTGAGTGATGTGGAAGAAACCTTATTTGAACTTAAATCAATTATTTTCTTCTGATAATGCTCAACAATTTCTAAAAGTACAGAGACGATGTACTTGTGGAGTAGAATAGAGACAAAATAGAGAGTTACCTGACAGACTTCACTGTCCGTTGATCGGCCCCTCTTCTTGTCGTCCTCTGAGTTTTCCTGAAACAAGAAAAACACCTCATTTATCGAGACAAATACACCAGTCGGTCACAGAGCGGAACATGACGACACAATAAAACTGTCAGGCACACATAACAGCTCAAACCTATTGGATTCAACCTTTACATAATTATAGAGTTTATATCAGTGATAAATGTCAGTGGAGGAGAGTGGAGAGGAAAGTGGAGAGACGAGAGGGAGAGAGAGCAGAGGGAGAGAGAGGAGAGAGGGGAGAGAGGAGTGGAGAGCACAGAGAGGAGAGGGAGGAGAGTGTGAAACACAATTAATAAGCTAGGAGTTTACTTTTACATGCACTGTCCACCTTTATACAGTGAAAGTTGTGTCTCTTATAAGGACAATCTCCTCCATTTCAAACGCAGCCTTCTTCTCACACAATGCGACCTACACTCCTTGACTTAAACTTCTTAAAGCGATAGTCACCCACCTCCTCACTGTGAGCACAGCTTTAACACCTCTGCAGCCTCTGCTCGTGTGGGAGGAATCTCGGAGCAGGTGACAAAGGCGAAAGCCCATGACAATATGTGCAATTATCCCACACACGGTTAAATAATGCCTTGACCCGGCGACACGCAGAGCTCCGGTTCACTCAGAGTCTAATATTCATGTTATTACCTAAAGGTGCCCAAGACTTCACTGATTCAAGCGCTGAATAGGCACCGTGCAGCTATACCACTAATGTTATGGTCCTTTTTCTTCTGTTTTATCCATTGCCGTCTGAGCAGAGAGCCCAGGACGTCTCTCTCCACATACACTTCCTCCAGCTCATTTGGGGGAATCCTGAGACGTTCCCAGGCCTGCTGGGTCTTCCCCTAGTCTCCTCTCAGTGGAAAAGGCCCGGAGAGAGAAATCAAAGAGAGCAGGGACCAGAGAGAGTGAGAGAGACCAGCAAAAGAGAGGCCAGAGAGAGAGCAAGAGACACAGACCAGAGAGAGAGAGCAGAGGAAGAGACCAGAGAGAGACCAGAGAGAGCGAGCAGACCAAAGAGACCGGAGAGAGATCAGAGAGAAATCAGAGAAAGAGAGGGAGACAATAAAGAGACTGAAGATTCTGAAAGCAGTACGAGTTGGAGAGAAGAGTATTTGCACAGAAGGAGCGGGGACATGTGTATATCAGTTGGAATGGCACAAAATGCACGAGTTTTTGAAATATTATTCAGTTCAGTGGTGGACCCCGAGAACACACTTATCTAATGTACATTGATGAGTATAGAGCTGAGTGTACGTACTGTAGTGCATGTGGCGGGCGAAGGCGGGATGGGGGAGGAGGAGGTGGTGGAGGTGGGGGTGCTGCTCGAGGGCTGGAAGAGCTCGTCTTCGAGGTGCGAGTGTCCGGGAGGCGACGTGGCAATCAGCGAGGGAGCTGCACACAAGAGCAGAGAGGTTCGAGGAGATGGAAGAGGACTGTGCTTTTACTCTGATGATTAACAAATACATGTGCAGACCCTGTTGGTGCCACTGTTTTTTAAATGGCTGATAATAATCCAGGAGATCATAGAGAATTATACAAACACAGTCTTCTACATTCCCCATTGAGAGAATGGTGTGTCCTCAGTATTTGAACTTACGAAGATCTTCGAGGTCGATGTCATCATAAAGAAACTCGTTTTCTTCGAAGTCTGGCTCCTGCGATGAGTCCATGTAGTACTCCACATCGTCCTTCAGGAGAAAGACACAGGACTTCATAACAAAACCAGATCTTCTGCTGAGGTATTCACACACTGTGTGAATACCTAACCACACGCACACACAGTCACACGCACACACAGCCAAGTGTCCAGAGAAACACATGGTGGACCAGAGGGATTCAACTCTGCCCTAAAAAGTGAGGCCCGTCTTAACCAGGAGACTTGAGGAAATGGGTCAAGTCTGGTCTCTCTCCCTCTCTGGTCTCTCTCCCTCTCTGGTCTCTCTCCCTCTCTGGTCTCTCTCCCTCTCTGGTCTCTCTCCCTCTCTGGTCTCTCTCCCTCTCTGGTCTCTCTCTCTCTCTCTCTCTGGTCTCTGGTTACCCTTTCATGTAAAACATGAAGCATTTTAACATGGGAACATTACATACGTCTCTTTAGTTAAATCAATCACAATGTCTTTATATTGATTATTATTAAATACAAAAACTGGATAAAATTGCCCCAGAAATGTCAAGTAAATCACAACAATGCTAATATAAACGTCACAGAGACATAGAGAAAACATTGAAACCACTGGAGTAGAAGCTGCAGTACCTTGATCTTCCTGATGGCGTCCACCTGCACCGAGTCATTGTCGAGCATCCGCAGAATCGTCTCCAACATCCGGATGTGGAAACGGTGCCGTTCGATAAACTTCTTCAGCTCTTCAATCCTCTCCTGTTTTTGGGAAAAAACAAAACCAACTGAAGCGTTCCATCTGTCAACGTCTGAGTCTACAGTGTCTCCTTAAAAGCAGACGTGCCACAGGAAGCCAGTGCAGAGACCTGAGACCAGGACTAATGTGATGGTACTTCCTGGTTGTAGTCAGGACTCGAGCTGCAGGGTTTTGAATATGCTGCAGCTCGTTTGGAGGGACCTGTGAGCTGTTACAGTAGTCTAACCCTACTCTGCTTTAGACTCTGGTTTTGTGATCCTGGCATTGTTTTTCAGATGGTAAAAAGCTGTTACTGATGTTACAGATTTGATGTGGCGGTTAGAAGTCGTCGGTCGGAAATCCAGGACTAATAATGGCCATGATTTAAGAAGTTGTTCAAAGTTCTTTGATCACTTCAAATACAGTCGTCTCCCTCGCCCTCTCCCTCTCTCTCTAGCCTCCCTTCCCCTCTCTCTGGCCTCTCTCTCCCTCTCGCTGGCCTGCCTCTCCCTCTCGCTGGCCTGCCTCTCTCTCTCTCGCTGGCCTGCCTCTCTCTCTCTCGCTGGCCTGCCTCTCTCTCTCTCTCGCTGGCCTGCCTCCCTCTCTCTCTCTCGCTGGCCTGCCTCTCTCTCTCTCTCGCTGGCCTGCCTCTCTCTCTCTCTCGCTGGCCTGCCTCTCTCTCTCTCGCTGGCCTGCCTCTCTCTCTCTCGCTGGCCTGCCTCTCTCTCTCTCGCTGGCCTGCCTCTCTCTCTCTCGCTGGCCTGCCTCTCTCTCTCTCGCTGCTCTCTCGCTGCTCTCTCGCTGCTCTCTCGCTGCTCTCTCGCTGCTCTCTCGCTGCTCTCTCGCTGGTCTCTCGCTGGTCTCTCGCTGGTCTCTCGCTGGTCTCTCGCTGGTCTCTCGCTGGTCTCTCGCTGGTCTCTCGCTGGTCTCTCGCTGGTCTCTCGCTGGTCTCTCGCTGGTCTCTCGCTGGTCTCTCGCTGGTCTCTCGCTGGTCTCTCGCTGGTCTCTCGCTGGTCTCTCGCTGCTCTCGCTGCTCTCTCGCTGCTCTCTCGCTGCTCTCTCGCTGCTCCTCGCTGCCTCTCGCTGGCCTCTCGCTGGCCTCTCGCTGGCCTCTCTCTCGCTGGCCTCTCTCTCGCTGGCCTCTCTCTCGCTGGCCTCTCTCTCGCTGGCCTCTCTCTCGCTGGCCTCTCTCTCGCTGGCCTCTCTCTCGCTGGCCTCTCTCTCGCTGGCCTCTCTCTCGCTGGCCTCTCTCTCGCTGGCCTCTCTCTCGCTGGCCTCTCTCTCGCTGGCCTCTCTCTCGCTGGCCTCTCTCTCGCTGGCCTCTCTCTCGCTGGCCTCTCTCTCGCTGGCCTCTCTCTCGCTGGCCTCTCTCTCGCTGGCCTCTCTCTCGCTGGCCTCTCTCGCTGGCCTCTCTCTCGCTGGCCTCTCTCTCGCTGGCCTCTCTCTCGCTGGCCTCTCTCTCGCTGGCCTCTCTCTCGCTGGCCTCTCTCTCGCTGGCCTCTCTCTCGCTGGCCTCTCTCTCGCTGGCCTCTCTCTCGCTGGCCTCTCTCTCGCTGGCCTCTCTCTCGCTGGCCTCTCTCTCGCTGGCCTCTCTCTCGCTGGCCTCTCTCTCGCTGGCCTCTCTCTCGCTGGCCTCTCTCTCGCTGGCCTCTCTCTCGCTGGCCTCTCTCTCGCTGGCCTCTCTCTCGCTGGCCTCTCTCTCGCTGGCCTCTCTCTCGCTGGCCTCTCTCTCGCTGGCCTCTCTCTCGCTGGCCTCTCTCTCGCTGGCCTCTCGGCTCTCGCGCTGGTCTCTCGCTGGTCTCTCGCTGGTCTCTCGCTGGTCTCTCGCTCTCTCGCTGCTCTCTCGCTGCTCTCTCGCTGCTCTCTCGCTGCTCTCTCTCGCTGGCCTCTCTCTCGCTGGCCTCTCTCTCGCTGGCCTCTCTCTCGCTGGCCTCTCTCTCGCTGGCCTCTCTCTCGCTGGCCTCTCTCTCGCTGGCCTCTCTCTCGCTGGCCTCTCTCTCGCTGGCCTCTCTCTCGCTGGCCTCTCTCTCGCTGGCCTCTCTCTCGCTGGCCTCTCTCTCGCTGGCCTCTCTCTCGCTGGCCTCTCTCTCGCTGGCCTCTCTCTCGCTGGCCTCTCTCTCGCTGGCCTCTCTCTCGCTGGCCTCTCTCTCGCTGGCCTCTCTCTCGCTGGCCTCTCTCTCGCTGGCCTCTCTCTCGCTGGCCTCTCTCTCGCTGGCCTCTCTCTCGCTGGCCTCTCTCTCGCTGGCCTCTCTCTCGCTGGCCTCTCTCTCGCTGGCCTCTCTCTCGCTGGCCTCTCTCTCGCTGGCCTCTCTCTCGCTGGCCTCTCTCTCGCTGGCCTCTCTCTCGCTGGCCTCTCTCTCGCTGGCCTCTCTCTCGCTGGCCTCTCTCTCGCTGGCCTCTCTCTCGCTGGCCTCTCTCTCGCTGGCCTCTCTCGCTGGCCTCTCTGTCGATCACTTTACATTCCGTTGAATTAAAGCGTCCTATGAACATTTCATGCTCAAAGTCCAGAGAGTTCCCTCGACAAAAACATGACTAACGTAGCACTAATGTTATGTAAGGCTAATACCCAACACTCCAGGGGCATAGGGACACACAGCACACTGGACATCAATATTAAAGAACAAATTATCCAAGCTAAGGAGGTTTGCAGCGGCTCCCAAACACAGATATGAAAGTTTAAACAGGAAAGGTGCAGCAGTAAGAGCAGGTGTACCACTAATGGATTAATGTAGAGTCACATGCCACTCCGGACTTCAATATTTAATCCTGCATACATCTCTTGCAGCGTGAGAACGGCACAAACACATGTTATTGTGGTGAGAGTGTTTGGAATGGGACTGAACCAGCAAAATCCACTATTCACTGCTTTCAGCCACGTTATAGTTAATTCATGCCCGTTTCTGTGCATTTTTATATTGTTTTACAGCAGAATCTCCTGTTCTTTTTTGAAGCTGAGTTTGCTGACTTTCAAACCTCAACAACCACAACCAGAAAAAGACCAGAGAGAGAAACCAGGGAGATAGTCCAGAAGAGAAACCAGAGAAAACCAGAGAGAGATAGACCAGAGGGAAAGGCCAGAGAGGGAGAGGCCAGAGAGAGACACCAGAAAGAGGGGCCAGAGACAGGGGCCAGAGAGATAATCCAGAAAGATAGTACATAGAGATAGTCCAGAGAGAGAAACCAGAGAGAGAACCCAGAGAGAGAACTGACTAATTTCTGTAGTGATACGCAAGCAATAAAGCGTTCCTTAACTTTAAATAAAGCTAACTGTCATCTGGGCTACAGCGGCTCTGTTGGTAGAGCATTGGGACCTTTGAGCCTGAAGGTCGTGGGTTTGAGCGAGGCCACCTCCACTGACTCCTACTGATTTCTGCTCAAGGCTACTGAAAGCTCAAGGCTATTCTGTCCCTGTCAGAGCAGCCGTCCTCCTGTGGACTCACTACCTGCAGGAGGATCAGTGCGGGCTGTGCTGAATGCCACACCCCGACCCAGAAATGGATTAAGGGGAAGAAGATAGATGGATAACTCATTTTTCTAGTCGCTCTCTGGCCTCCCTAGTTATCTTTTCCCTCTCTCTGTCTTTTTTCTACTCTCTATTTCTGCTTTTCTCTCTTTCTCTCTTGGGTTCTTCTCCACGCTCTCACTCTGTGCTCTTTCTCTCTGTGTGCTCTCTTTCTGTGTGCTTATTCTCTCTGTGTGCTCTCTATCTGCACTATAGATGCAGACCCACTTTCTGTAGTGTAAATAATGATTGACTATGACGCCAGGCTGAGGGGGCTGTTATCGTATTTTAGTGTAGAAATTGCGTTATGAAATCCCTGTGTCCCGAACATGTGTGCGTCAGCCGCATTAGTGGGATATGACCGTGTACGGGTCTTCACTTTCAATATTAACACAATAACAGTTCAGGGAGTATGTACGCATCTCTCTGACCACAGCGGCTAATGGGGGAAGCACATGCAGACACGCACACCGAACCCTGATGTAATTGAATGACCTTGTTATGGTAAAGTAATGCATCTGTAACATGCATCCAGGAGGAAATCTATCCCCCACACACTGTAAAGTATGAAGTATAATCACTGTATTAATTTCCAACAATTTTAGGAGTGTGAGTGTCTAACTTCTGCTGTTTTAACAGGATGTGATCTTAGGATAATATTTGTTTCAACAATGTCTTTGGGTCATAGTCGTGGATTATTATCATATATTCTCTGGTCTATCTCTGGGCTGTCTACCTCTCTCTCTCTCTCTCTCTCTCCCTGTATCTAGTCTCTCTCCAATCTCTTTCTGGCATCAGAGAGACAGAGAGTAGCAGGATAGAAATAGGACAGAAACAGGACAGATACAAGATAGGGTCTCACCTCTTTGTCTCCTTTCTTTTTCCTGGTTTGGACCGATAAAGACTCCACTTCACTCTCGAACTGGTCCACCTGCATGTTCAGCGTGTCTATCGTGTTCTGCAGCAAAAGAAAATTAGAAAATTCTGTCAAGAAAAAAAGTTCTGCATGACAAGGGACACTAACATCCCCACATAATCCGACCTTTATGAAAGCTGCAGGTTCTCCGTCATCTGAGGTCGAGCTATTTTAGTTTACATTGAGTTCTATGGGACTTTTTTCGGGGAAGCCTACAGGAATTTAGTCTGCAGTACCACGGACTATAAGATAACAATACCCTATCTGGTTATTATTATAGATAGCTAGCTACATTTCTTAGTTAGCTTCATGGCTAAACAGGGGCAGATGTTTCGCTAAGACAACAGCTAAGGGAAGCTGGAGTTTTCCCTGCAAATGAAGGCATCTGATTGGTCAATTCTTATATGGCTCATATCTGAATTTATACAGTAACTCCTCCCATTCAGGTTCTATAAGTGTTAGCACTAAACAAGAGTATGTACAACCTTCAAACAAATCGCTCATGAAACGTTTACTTAAGCCTCTACTATAGGAACACTTAACTACAGGCAGAGGTTACACAAGTCCAATACAAAAAATAAATTTCACTCAGCATAGTCTTCAGCCTTCCCTGCCTGGTGGAGGTCTACAACTTTGTTTCTAATGTTCTAGAACAGCTACTTTGTCTTGAAGCTCGTCTTAGTCATGGTCTACTCTGGCGTCTCTCTCTCTCTTCTCTCTGGCGTCTCTCTCTCTCTCTTCTCTCTGGCGTCTCTCTCTCTCTCTCCTCTCTGGCGTCTCTCTTTCCTTTCTGGCGTCTCTCTTTCCTTTCTGGCGTCTCTCTCTCTCTCTCCTCTCTGGCGTCTCTCTCTGGCGTCTCTCCCTCTCTCTGGCGTGTCTCTCTCTCTCTGGCGTGTCTCTCTCTCTCTGGCGTGTCTCTCTCTCTCTGGCGTGTTTCTCTCTCTCTGGCGTCTCTCTCTCTCTGGTCCTGAATGAGGACCAGATACTCACCGTGAGCCACGTTCCGACCTCCTCCTTCTCCTTCTGGGCTGGGTCCACTTTCTGGGCCAGGCCGAGACCCTCTTTTGAGTAAGCTTTGGTCTTCGTTTCCCTTTCCACAACTTTGAACCGCTCCATTTGCTGCAGACATCAAACGCAGACACAGTATTATTAGACGCTGGACGATCTCAATAGGAAAGCAGTCTGGGTTATTATAAATACAAGGTTCTGAAGGTTTTTTTGGAGAGTATGGTACAAAAACATTATGTATCAGGGCTAGAAAGGCATTAACCGTGTGAGTGAATGCGTAAACCTGGGGTTAAGGCTAAATGTTCACTGCAAACATTCTGGATGGGTATTTAACAAGGTGAAAAATGGATAATCAGAATAAAAAAGTCCATTTACTTCCTGTGTGGGGGTCTTTAGTCCTGAATCTACAGCCTCGGCCCCGCGTCTACAGCCTCGGCCCCGCGTCTACAGCCTCGGCCCCGCGTCTACAGCCTCGGCCCCGCGTCTACAGCCTCGGCCCCGCGTCTACAGCCTCGGCCACGCGTCTACAGCCTCGGCCACGCGTCTACAGCCTCGGCCACGCGTCTACAGCCTCGGCCACGCGTCTACAGCCTCGGCCACGCGTCTACAGCCTCGGCCACGCGTCTACAGCCTCGGCCACGCGTCTACAGCCTCGGCCACGCGTCTACAGCCTCCGTCACGCGTCTACAGCCTCCGTCACGCGTCTACAGCCTCCGTCACGCGTCTACAGCCTCCGTCACGCGTCTACAGCCTCCGTCACGCGTCTACAGCCTCCGTCACGCGTCTACAGCCTCCGTCACGCGTCTACAGCCTCCGTCACGCGTCTACAGCCTCCGTCACGCGTCTACAGCCTCCGTCACGCGTCTACAGCCTCCGTCACGCGTCTACAGCCTCCGTCACGCGTCTACAGCCTCGGCCACGCGTCTACAGCCTCGGCCACGCGTCTACAGCCTCGGCCACGCGTCTACAGCCTCGGCCACGCGTCTACAGCCTCGGCCCCGCGTCTACAGCCTCCGTCACGCGTCTACAGCCTCCGTCACGCGTCTACAGCCTCCGTCACGCGTCTACAGCCTCCGTCACGCGTCTACAGCCTCCGTCACGCGTCTACAGCCTCCGTCACGCGTCTACAGCCTCCGTCACGCGTCTACAGCCTCCGTCACGCGTCTACAGCCTCCGTCACGCGTCTACAGCCTCCGTCACGCGTCTACAGCCTCGGCCACGCGTCTACAGCCTCGGCCACGCGTCTACAGCCTCGGCCACGCGTCTACAGCCTCGGCCACGCGTCTACAGCCTCGGCCCCGCGTCTACAGCCTCCGTCACGCGTCTACAGCCTCCGTCACGCGTCTACAGCCTCCGTCACGCGTCTACAGCCTCGGCCACGCGTCTACAGCCTCGGCCACGCGTCTACAGCCTCGGCCACGCGTCTACAGCCTCGGCCACGCGTCTACAGCCTCGGCCACGCGTCTACAGCCTCGGCCACGCGTCTACAGCCTCGACCACGCGTCTACAGCCTCCGTCACGCGTCTACAGCCTCGGCCACGCGTCTACAGCCTCGGCCACGCGTCTACAGCCTCCGTCACGCGTCTACAGCCTCAGTCCCGGGCTCTACAGTCTCTATACACAATATTTACTCAAATGCATTGAAATGAACAAACCACAATGTGTACATTCCATTTTAATAAAGCTGAAGGTTCCACAACCGAAACAATACTACAACTTGAGAAAACAACATAACTGCACACATTTCTGTTCAGTCGTTAGAACGTGAGAATGTGAAGACGGACAGAGCGAGAGTCACAGATGGTGACAACAATTGACCACGGTGCGTCTCGATGCCAGCTCTGAACAGCCGCCATATTGTGTGTCACTTTACAGTTTTCACACATGATATCTATTTGGAGCACAGAACCTGGTGCTCCTCCGATCACACATTACTCTGAGGAAGGAGAGGCTGAGACGAGAGGGAAGAGAGGAGCAGAGGAGAGGAGCAGAGGAAGGGAGGAGAAAAAGGGGAGAGAGATGAGACCCCGGTGCTCCTATGTACTCCTCTGATCACACTGAGGGAGGAGAGTACTCTATACTACCCTAATCCTAACCCAAAAAAGAAGTTTTTAGATATTAGCTTGACTTGGTTTTGTTGATTGGGTTTGGAATTGATTATAGTATTTCTGTTCTTTTAATGTGAGGAGAGAGGAGACGGAGAAAAGCAACAAGGAAGAAAAGAGAGGAAAGAAAGGGTTGTGAACAGAGTAGAAAGTGGAGGAGAGAAAAAGTAAGAGAAAGGAGTGCATAGAAGATAGGGAGAGAAAGGAGAGAGGCGGAGAGAGGAAAAACAAGAGGGGGGAGAGAGAGAAGAGGAGGGGAAAGAGGAGAGAGGACGAGAAAAGAGGGGTGGAGAAGAGGAGAGGGAAGGAAGGAGAAACTAGGGAGGAGAGAGCAGGAGAAGGAAAAGATAAAAGGAGAGAGAGGAGAGGTAGTGAGCAAGGAGAGAGGAGAGGTAGTGATAAAGAAGACAGGAGAAAGAGTGGAGAAAGGATGAGAGAAAATAAGAGAAAGGGGAGAAAAGAGGAGAGGGGAGAAAGATTTATGCACTAATAACTGATCAAATGTCATAAGTCTAGTTGGGGATATTGAGGTAAAGTTCACAGAAAGATCTCAGTCAAATCTGTCTCCAAAAGTCCACTTCCTCAAAGACTCCATGTAATTTCAGAGCAGACTGCCTCCAAAACCACAGGAAGTGCTGAAGGCCAGGCGGATCAGAGCCGGCGCTTTGTGGGCAGGTGCCGCGCATTCAAAGCGCCTCAATGGGAGTCATCAAAGCGCCGCAAGGCTCAGCTGGTCTGGGACTGGAGCAGGAGACAGGTGCTGAGACCATACACTGTACAGCAGGGGCTAAAGCCGGGAATATTCTGTGTTAAAGTGCTATGTCCTTCACACACTGATTTTGGTTCCAACAGCTAAATAGTGCCTTGCAAAAAGTATTAATATGGCTTGAACTTTTGCATTTTGTAATGTTCACAACCATAAACAAAGATTGTATTACTTTTTTAATGACAGAAGGGGAGGGGGGTATACAAATAAAAACAATAACTAGTAATAAAAAATATATAATTTTTTTTTTTATAAAAAAAAAAAAAAAGAAAAAGTAGGCCTTGCATACAGCCTTGGTCTGAGTGCATTAAACTGTCTCTAAAACGAGTGTGACACTCAACCTGCAAGTCCAAGTCTCTAGACGCACAAGTCCAAGGTTCTGGGCCCACAAGTCCAAGGCTTCGGACCCACAAGCCCAAGTCAGGTCTAAGTCTCTGGGGCCTACATATTTGAATCTTTACATAATTTCTAAAAAAAAAAAAAAACATTCTTTCCACAAACCATCTCTTTGTATGTGCTGCTGGATCTACCTTAAAAAAATTTATTGAATGGATAAATATTGGTTCAATTCTATTTTCTGTTGCTTAATCCGTTGCCGGATTAAGGGGGCAGCAGTCTGACAGACTTCCCTCTCCACACACACTTCTTCCAGCTCATCTGGGGGATTCCTGAGGCGTTCGCAGGCCAGTTGAGAGACACAGTCCCTCTGTGTCCTGGGAAATGGGTCATAAGACCTATTTCCTTAGAACCACTAAAGAAATCTAATTGACATGTCTGTCCCTCACGCTCACACTCACCGTCTCTATGAGTTTGCGGTTCTCCACTAGCTGCCGTTTGTCTTTGATCTCGTTGGATGCTACCCACGTCTTTATCTGGTCTCGCAGACGCTGTAGAGAAGAACCAGCGACAAAAGCAGAGAAGGAGAAAGTGATGAGAGATCTGTCACAGATACGGAGATACATGTTTTGACAGAGCTTGGTTTGGTGCAGGCTTCAGGCTGACGGTGGTGAAATGTGAGAGACCCAAACATCACATTCAGAATTCAGTGGCTTCAGCTAATAAAGTAAAGAATAATTTTCAAAATACTAAATATGTTGGTATTTCATATGTGAAAGGTAGACTTATAATTTAATTGAAGTAAAAAATATGGTCTCTTTTCTGTGTACAAACTTTTAGTTTTGGAACCGTAATGACTCAGTAAAAGTTAGGTAGCCCAAAAAGGCACCTGAGCTGTTTGTTTCTTTGCATTTACTTGAAATTATCTGTTATTTTTGAAGTGCGAGGCCCTTAACGCCTCCATTTGTTTTCAATCAATCAATCTTTATTTAAAAACATTAAAACATTAAAATCACACAAATAATTAAAAACCATAAAAAAACACACAAAGAGTTACAATAATAAAATAAAAGGTGGGTTAAAAAGATAAAATTCTTCAGTTGTATGCACAGGCAAAGAGAAAAGTCTTTAACCTGGATTTGAACATAGACAAAGAGGCAGCCAGTCTCACATCCTCTCGAAGACTGCTCCAGACCTTAGATGAAGCATGAATCTGAAAAGCAGCCTCCCCATGTCTAGTTCTGACTCTGGGCACCAGCAGGAGTCCCGTCCCTGTGCTTCTCAGAGTCCGGGCCGGTTCATATGGCACTAGCATGTCATGGATGTACTTTGGTGCGAGGCCATGGAGAGATTTGTACACAAGCAGAGCTGCTTTAAAGTCTATTCTCTGGGCCACAGGAATCCAGTGCAGAGACCTGAGAACTGGACTAATGTGATCGTACTTCCTGGTTCTAGTCAGGACTCGAGCTGCTGCATTTTGAATGTTCTGCATCTGTTTTACTGCATGTTTGGAGATACCTGTGAGCAGGCCATTGCAGTAATCTAGCCTACTGGAGACAAAAGAATGGATACGTTTTATTGTAAAATACAAACTCAATTCTATGCGAGCCCCTTCTCGCCATAGTGCTGGACCAGGACCGGTTCTGGACCATCCATGTTTCCAGAAATGCATTGGTTTGAATGGGAGCCATCAAAATGACTGCTCAGTGTGTTAGACCCCTGCCCTGGTGCCCACGGCTCACCTGTAGTTTCTTGATCTCCTTCTTGAGGTCGGCTTCATACTTCTCCTTCTGGTTGGCGTTCGCTGCATTGTGAAGCTGCGCGCACAACACCACAGAAAAACAACGCCACGTTATTATAAAAATCCACGAACATGTTCACGTTTATGAACCATAACTTAAACCTTACCTTCTGCCAAATGTCTTCAAACTGTTCTACTCCTTCCGCTACTTTTTTCAGACATCGATCTATTTCCCCTGGAACAAAAAACATTCCGATTTAGATTCAGTTTGCTGTAAATCCACAGTGGATTAAATTTGTAAAAGTCTCTCCCTCCCTCTCTGGTCTCCCTCTCTGGTCTCCCTCTCTGGTCTCCCTCTCTGGTCTCCCTCTCTGGTCTCCCTCTCTGGTCTCCCTCTCTGGTCTCCCTCTCTGGTCTCCCTCTCTGGTCTCCCTCTCTGGTCTCCCTCTCTGGTCTCCCTCTCTGGTCTCCCTCTCTGGTCTCCCTCTCTGGTCTCCCTCTCTGGTCTCCCTCTCTGGTCTCCCTCTCTGGTCTCCCTCTCTGGTCTCCCTCTCTGGTCTCCCTCTCTGGTCTCCCTCTCTGGTCTCCCTCTCTGGTCTCCCTCTCTGGTCTCCCTCTCTGGTCTCCCTCTCTGGTCTCCCTCTCTGGTAGGGGTGGGAACCTCAGGGTACCTTACGATACAATACGTGATACAAAACTCACGATAACGATTATATCGATATATATTGGTCTAGGGCTGGGCAAAAAATCGATTTAAATCGATTTATCGATTTTGTAGCTTAAAAGGATTTTTATTTTGCAAACTCGAGTTTTTTTTTCACCAAATTTTTTTTCTGAGTTTTTTGCGTTTTGTCCTTGTGGGTTACCGTAGAGCGTTATGAGCCAGCCCCCTCCGCCGCGTAAACACAGTCAAAACAAGAATGGCAGCGTGTAGTAGAGCAGGGGTTCCCAAAGTTTTTAGCCCGCGACCCCCATCATAAATGCCCTGCTAACCCTCCTCAGCAGAAGTGGAGCGCATTTCTTGCGGCTCGCCCTCACTGTTCTCCTACCGCGGTAAAGTGGGCCGGCTTTCCGGAGTCAGCGGTAAAGAGGTCCGCACATTAAAAGCGGGCGGCCGCTTTCTGCTGTTACTTTATGCGGTTCATCCCCGCGGCTTCTCTTTCCAAAGTTACTGTCAGTAAAGGCATAAACCGGCCACCCGCTTTTAATGTGCGGACCTCTTTACCTTTGACTCCGAAAAGCCGGGCCTCTTTAACGCGCTGTTCTACCGCTGTCCTCCCTCCCTCCGCTGCCCTCTCTCCCTCCTTTGCCCTCTCTCCCTCCTTTGCCCTCTCTCCCTCCTCTGCCCTCTCTCCCTCCTCTGCCCTCTCTCCCTCCTCTGCCCTCTCTCCCTCCTCTCCCTCTCTCCCTCCTCTGCCCTCTCTCCCTCTCTTCGCACCATCAGCCTGACCCCTGATACAAGTGACTTTTCTCCCCCTCCGGGTTTTTCTGTTGTGGATATTAACCACGTTTCATTTTAAAGCAGGTATTATTTATTTGTAGCCTCCAAACACCTTTAGTTTTAGCAAACAACAGCAGGACACGCTTTGTCGCTGCGCATGATGTGAGCTGTGTTACGTGATGATTTTGATTGACGCTGCAATGACTGGGACAAAATTACTAACGTTATTAAAATATATTATAGTCTCCAAACACAATTTAACAAGTAGTCCTTTTGAATCAAATCAAATGCTAAATAAATATTTAAGGGCTTTATATTTGCTCAAAAAAAAAAAAATCTTTTTTTTTGTTTGTGTAGAAATCATCATGCGACCCCCCCAGGGGTTCCCGCGACCCCCCGGGGGGGTTTTAACAGGGGGGGCTTGTTAAAAGTATTAGATGCGAGGTACAGTACGTTGTCCCCAGTCGCAAGTATTTCGCCGATGTAGCGCTGCCTCACCTGTACAATACAACTCGTGAAAAGATCCGCGGTGAGCTGGGGGAGATGACGTTTTACTCAGCCACCACGGACCTGTGGTTGTGGACAGGCTCATCTTTCTTGCAAAAAATGCTTAGAATGAGCATGCACAATATTTCAGAGATCTAATGTTTTGTTGTTAAAGATAAAAGTTTACATTTGTTTATCCTTTGATAAGTAGTTAGTTAGTAGCTATATGTCTGCCACAGGCATGTTTAATTTTTTTTATATTCACATTATGCTGAGAGGCTAAGAGAAGAGTTTATTTTATTTTTTTATTGTAATGTTATATGTTACAAAATATGTAGTTATCTGATTTCTTAATCAGAAAATGTAAGCTACTGTGAAGTTGATGTTGCACTTTTGCTTAAACCTGGGTTAAAGCTTGAAATTGTTGAATAACAGAGCCTCATTTACATGCATTTTAACTCTTGAGGACAATCACAGCAATAAATTTGCACTTTTGACAATATATCTGATGTCTCCCAGTCATTTTTAAGTGCATTGGGAAAAAAAAATCGAAAATCGAATCGAAACTTGAATTTTTCTTTTAAAAATCGGAGATTTTTTTTTTAGGCAAAATCGCCCAGCCCTATATTGGTCAGAAATATACCATATGCCAATTTATGGCATAAATCAAATTAAAAAACACTTTATTTCATGACAAATGGAATGGAGATGCGTAATGTAGTCATATATTGCGTATTGACACTAATTGGGGAAAAAAATGGAAAAAAAACCCTCCATATCGATAATCGATTGCGGGAGAAAGTATCACGATATATCGTTATATCGATATATCGTCACACTCCTACTCTGTGGTCTCTCTCTCGGCTGACGAGCCAAACTTTAGAGGAAAGAACAAAGTGAGAACTCTTTGGATAAATATGAGAACAGCTGATTTTGAGTGTGTTCAGGTGAGTCCAGCCTCGAAGCAGCACTTTAACTGTTTATCATCAAAGATTAACGCAGGAAAAGTGCATTATTTACAACACCACAGATTTCTGACAAAAAGCCCAATGTTTTTAAACAGGCAGATCCATTAGTGCACAGAGAGGGGAGGGGAGAAGAGGGGAGAGACAAGAAGAGAGACGAGAGGAGAGAGGGGAGGAGAGAGGAAAGGAAAGTCCAGTGGAGAGACGAGGGGAGGGGAGAGACGAAAGGCGGGAGACAAGAGGAGAGACTGGAGATGGGAAGGGAGAGAATGGGTGGGGAGGGGTAAGGAGAGAAGGAGAGAGAAGAGAAGGGAAGGCAGAGAAGAACCACTCAAAAAAAAAACTAGTGGAAAAAGGTGAGAAACCCCAGGGAGGTCCACATTGAGAGGGGGATCCGCTCCCACAGACGTACGAGCTGTAGATCCAGGACTCAATTACAATCACACCTTTGTTGCCAGAATCTTCTTCCTGTGACATATTCGGCTCTTAAGCATTAATTACTGATGCAATCCATCAGCTGGGGTTTAGCTAGAAACAGTACTGACTGTATTACATATATTGTATTACACATTGTTTTGTGCCTGCTTTCATTTGGATAAATGTGGTGCTGTTTTTTGTGAAGTTTCTAAATCGCAATATTAAAACTTATTCTAAAAATGAGCCTCATTCTGCTCTCTGATTGGATAATGATAATAATGATCTGCTTGAACATAAGCTAATATATATATATGAGCTTCGCGCCAAAACAGCAGCAAACACTTTGCTGACAAAGACAAGCTTGAGACAATATAAAAAATAAAAAAAACAGGATCTCAAAACCACCATTTTTTTTGTAATCCCAAAAAGATGAGTGTGACACAAACTGAGCAAGGACTTTACTTTTAAATGTAAGTCAATAGGAGCCAGAGAAGGTTGGAGCAAAACTTCACCACGAGCGCTTTCCTATTAGGCTTATTTGAGATAGCGGGTTAGCATTGTCCATCTGTATACAGTCAGCCTCCACCCACACTCATTGACCCCCATGTTATTTGCGTCACACAGGAGTTTTTAGCTAAAAGTAAACAGGAAGCGTCTGAATTTTAGCAATGTTTTATCCTTCCTGACCTGGATATCCAGCGCGGCAGTGACGTAAGCTTGCGCTGTATGTATTCATGTGATGCTAATCTTTTGTGATTTCTCCCAAACTCTTTTTCATGGTTGACGTTGGCCTGACAAGTTAAAAAATACACCCCCCCCCGTCTGTCAGAGTGCGGACTGCTGCTAATGAAAGCGATCAAAGAGTTGCATCATTGAAAGAGAGAGCTGTGGTTTTTGGAGCTAACTCGCAAGAAGCAACATTTGTATCACTGTGAGTCATAGTTCTGAAGCGAGATTGAGTAAAACAGGATTTAAAAACAGGCAAATTTGCATGTTTACTTGGGGAGATGACAGAACAATCACAAACTTAACCAGGTCAGAAAAGGCCTCAAAAGATATCAAAATTACCATTTGTTTTAGTACTGGAACAATGACTGAACTTTCTGGACTATTAGCCGCACACTTTTTCTAGGTCTTTATATAGTGATGCAGTTAATATGTGTTTTGAGTATGTGCGAGTTTATAGACATTATTATTTTGACGCAATCCAGTTTTTAGTAGCAACGGTTGGGGGTTGTCATTTCTCTTAAATATTGCAATATTTTTCTCAAACAATTACATGGATACAGTATCGCAACATTTAATTAAATAAAGATCAGTTTCACTTTTGTGTTTTGAGTTTTTTGAGTAATTTCCGTCTAAGGTTTCTGTCCCTCTTGGATGTCTGCTTATTGTGACTCTAGTCTGTTGTATGTGAATAATGGGAGTAATTCTGGGAGCTCAGCATTCATAATAATAAGACCATAATAAGTGTGACATTGACTTGACTTGATTTTCCTCCATGTTTGTTATGACTAAATAAGACATTTTATTTAGTCTTTGAATAAAATGAGGGACATGAATCTCGATATATTGCAGAATAAAATCACAATACTTGCTTTATGGCAATATGTTAAGAATCACTATAGTATATTCCCACTCCTCACTTTTTGTTTTAGTAGTTACAGGACACTGGTTGACTGTCATCGACCACAACATAGTTTTTTTTTAAGTAGTTTACATGGGTACAAGTCAAGTTTTTTCTTGAATCAAAAAAATAATTTTTTCCTCACTTGAATCTATGCCAATCACTGCCCACATGATTTGTCTTTATTAATGCTACTTGAGAGGGATCAAAACCGGTCACCATGTCCCCAAAGGAATATTGGACTTATTTTAATTCAGAGATCCTTGGACCTGTTCCTCTTTGTTCTCCACATTACTTCC